TATATATATATATATATATATATATATATATACATATATGTATATACATTACTGGGGAAATACGGTAGAAAATGATAATGTTTCTAAATATCACTATGGAATCATATTCTGAATAGAATCAAAGCTTATTAATCATATAATGAGCAACTTGATACCCTGTTAATCACTACTGTTCTCTATCACCCATCACAGAATCAATCTGCCCAATTTACCAAACTGGTATGATTGATGCTCGTATAAATTCATACCAAATATCTTATGAGCTTATATTATTTCACCCGCTAAATATGAAGTCAAAACTGCGAGATTTTTAAAAACAATGCTGTTTACGGCATAAGCCATGCAGTTAAAGCGTTCGTGGTAATACCATTCGTAGTTTGTAAACATAAAATGTAGTAAAAGATACGGGCAATAATGTTGCTTTCTTCAACAATGATGCTACAAATGATACTACCACGAACGCTTTAATCCCAAATCCGAACACATAAAGACAAGTTTCAGTACGCTTACCACTTCACGGTGCCCTGTATATGACGTGCAACGATCTTCTTGCCGTCAATGTGGTTTTCGTCATTCAAGGGCGTTTCAGTCTTTGGCTGCTCGTAATGGCCCTCCGGCTTCTGCAAAATAATTGTGTTTGTGTAAATTCACTTCAAAACATAACATATGAATTAAATGCTGAATAGATCTGAATAAACAAAGACCACTTTTCCATTTTTCCATTTTTTCCTTCAAAACTTTCAAAACTCTTTAACTGAATTAAAATTGCTTACGTTGTTGGTTTCAGCCATTTCAGATGGTACGGCTTGCGGTGGTTGTTGCACCAGATCTTCTTGTTTAAGCGGCTGAAAAATTTAAATTAATTAACCTTTATCAAGTTTATTTGGAAAGTGCATCATTCAATCTTTTTCCCCTTCTTTTTGAATCCACAAATATGACAAGGCGCAACTTTTCCACTTCATCATTTTTAGGTCCAAAATTAAATGATTCAGTTTTGTGACACATAAAGTAATCGGATGTTCTTTTCAATATCTTTCTTAAAATATTTTAAAATTTCTAGCTCCTCGATTTATTTGTTAAGAGTTCAATAAATAAGTCTAATTGGCAGATCATCAAATATACTGTATATATATATACATATCAATCTAAGAACTATCGATTGGTCTAGGAATTGATCGAACAATGAATAACAAATGACACATAATGAATCTACGATAAATGACAAAAAAAAAATCTCCTAAACTGATTACATATTTGCATTCTAACTAGCAGTCTATATCGAATGAACCAATCCTTTCGACCAAAAACCACACGACCCTCCCCGCCTCAACTTCCTTCACACATCACCATCCCTCTTTCCTTTCCCCCTCTCAATCGATTTCATGTAAACCACCAGAAAAAAAAAAACACAGCCCGTGTGGCATTTCATGGCTTCGGCCGTTTCAATCTAAATTAAAATTTTTGAAATTTCCATATTATGATCCAGTCATTATTTGGAAGTTTATTATTATTACTATTATATTTCCCTTCTTTATCATATCTTATTGCTATTTCTATCATTTGATAACACTTTTATACTACTCCATGTTACTTTAAATAAAAATCTCATCTCAGAATATCTAATACTACCACATTCTGTTGTCCCATCCTTTCACTCTCTTGTATCATTTACTGCATCCTCTAACACTATACCAAACTATCCTATCCTATTTTCTCGACCATCACTCTATCCTTCCCAATATTGTTCCATTTGTCATCCCAATTCCTATAATCGGTAAACAATTGTTACCATCTCGACAATTTCTCAACAAATCTTCTGATCTTTGGTCGTAATGACTGACATACCAAAACTGGCTCTTTGATCATTCTATCATTAAATGCCATTCTTATTCACTGTTATCATTAATCATTCAATCAATACTTCTAATTCCATCAGATCTTGCCAATATCAGAAATGTAAGAATGACTTGTTAATTACATTCCTCCTTAATTACGCTCATATCATCTATGATCAGATTAATGAACTCACTATCTCACTTACTATAAGTATATTTGAAAATCCTGATAAAAAATTTGCATTTAAAATGTAAAGAAAGCAAACGAACTTTCAACGTTAACTGAAATCATTTTCATCAACCGGAACGAAGACGAAATGAAACTAAGCTAAACTGGTAATTTATGGATGTTATTTATCGGCGAAAAATATTTATAAACAATTTCTCCTTAACCGGAAATGAATAATAGATCAAAAAAAAAAAAAATGGATGTAAGGATAAAAGTTTAAATAGAAAGAGCTTTTTCATTAGTTTAAAGTTCCTATTACAATTAGCTAAGATCTCTTAATTATTCATGAGAAAAGCAAAAAGAAAAAAAAAATCTTCCAATTTAGCAAAATTATGGATAATATTATGTTTATAAATGATTGCAAATTTCGAAATTTAATTTAATGAATGTATTGATGTTGTTTGCAATTTGTTAAATTCTCGAAAAATCAATTTTCCTTTCCTACTCCTTTTTTCTTAAAAGAAAAAAAAAAGAAAAGTGAAATTATTTGATTTAAAAATTTTGCAACATTAATTTTCAATTTTGTTGCAAATATGTATTGTTGTTGTTGTTTTTTTTTCTGAAGAAATGTTAATTTTGGATGCATAAAAACTGCAAAAAAAAAAAAAATTTTTTTTTTCTTAAAACATTGTAATATTTAATACAAATAACTAATAAGATGATTCAGAACTTTCCTAATTTTCCCTCAAAATTAACAATAATTTCTGTAACTTTTAAAGGAATCAAAAAAAACGAAAAAGTCTTTTATTTTTCTTCTTAGGAGAAAACTTTTGGTAGTTAAAATAAACTTGCAAGTTCATTCAACCATTAAAATCTTTCTTTTCTTTTCTTTTTTTTTTTTTGAGAACAACTCATTAATTATATGGATAAATTGATTGGTATTTATTTATTTCTGATAATTTTAAGTGAATAATAGAAGAAATGAGTGATTTTACGATTATTACATTTTTTCTTTAAATCCAATTTTCTAATTTAATTTAAAATTATTAGAAATAAATAAATAAATATCAGAAACAGATAAATGTGAAAGTATCGGAAATTAAAAAAATAAGTGTCAAAAAAAAACAAGTATCGGAAATAAATAAATTGAAATTGGATTTAAAAATATCAAAAATAAATAATTCCCAAGAGAAATTGAAAATGCACCTATTTTAGTTTCGTTTGAAAGAATTTAAACAGCACTTTTATCATCCATTCCAAAATTTTCCATCAACAAATTTTCCATTTTATTTCGCATAAATTATCAATCCTATCTTTTTTCTTTTTCTTTTTTTTTTTTGTTACATATAATCAAAGAGTTATATTTGTCTGAATAAATTTAAATTCTATTATAATTAATTCATAAATACTACATCAATAAAGTTTATGATAATGTAGTAGCGCAAATATGCCTATCACGCTTATCATAATGTAGTGGCGCAAATATGCCTATCACGCTTATCATAATGTAGTGGCGCAAATATGCCTATCACGCTTATCATAATGTAGTG